GACAGAAGACAGGATGCTTGGATGACATCAAGCAACCTGTTTTGGTACTGGATGGCATCACTGAGAGAGTCGAGGGCTCGACTCAAGTAATGAGACTCGTGCGTGCTAAGGGGGCCTGGCCTGGAGATATAGCATGCCCACAAAAATATAGCGTTAGTGAGGACAGGGTGATGCTGCTCCATGACAGGTCGAGTGAAAGATTCTCGTAGTCGGCCCATGTGCAGACCCAGGAGGGACTGTCGAGAATGTGAGAAAAAGACGTCTACGAGTGTTTGAGCGAGCTCTATCGTGGGTTGTGGTTCCTCATGGTAGATATCCGTAAATGGCGTAGGTGAGGGTGAGGGAATGCCCTGTATCCAAGAGCTTTGAGGGGAATTGTTTGCTGTAAAATATAAGACTTAATGCGAGATAATCACAGCGGATCAACACACCGGAAGGAGAGAAGGAAGACACTGAAAGTGAGAAGCCTGTGCTTGCCGGAGAGCCAGTAAGGGAAGACGAGGAGCTTTCTGAGCGACCATGACGATGCGGATCATGTAGAGTTACGGATGGCGAGGTATACTCAGGATCCTCGAGCTCTCGTATACGCTGTTCTAAACGCTCGATATGTTCACGGAGAAGTTGAGTTCTCGTCTTTCCCTTTCCATCGTCGTATTGACAGGCGTCATGCTGTTTTGCACGAACACATTGTTGACAGGCTGGTTTGCTACCATCACATCTCTGATGACTTGATTAGCGACTGACAGAGTATCAGGAATATATGATGACTTACCATCTTCCTCTTTCTGGACAAGGCGCGTTTAAGCATGGTTAGCGAGTTTTGATGAATGATAGACGAATAGAGAAAATACCTGCAACGCAAGCATGCTTTTCCCCTCTGGAGAGTTGGCGGGGGCGTGGTGGACTGATTACTGGCCATTATGGGAACGGATACTAAATATACACGAATGAGAGTGGAACTAATGGGTGAAACCGCATCAACGAGCTGCGGAGTACAGGCTTGAAGAAGAGTAACATACCAAAGAGCCTTGTGGATGTGACCTTGGGGAGACGCTAAAGATGAAGAAAGAGAGGGAGTATGAGTACTCCAGGCATGAAGTGAACAAGTGAGACCTAGTAGTAGGGGGGCGGTGACACGAACTAGTCAGAAATAATTTACTGAAAGCACATGAACAGTGTGCTCAAATAGTTCCTGAAGCCGTGACTTGTCTGGTTGATCAGATAGCAGAGCCCGCGTGATGTCGGACAAACCTTTGACTGGTTAGTTCCGCCGGAGATCCAGGAAACTTCCGAGGTTTTACGATCCCGACAAAACTCGATGATGATCCACATGCAAGGGCGGTCTTTGGTGGCTGTTTGTTTCTATTAGGATCCTTTGCTGGTCAAATCTCACAACGGTCTTCCTATCCCGTGTCCGTCGTCTCAGAGGTTCATAACCTCCAGGTAATACTAAAAATCTATCACTTGGCACAGATTCCCACTTATTGCTGTACAAGGTCAATGACAACACAGCTTTTACCCGGTATTCAGACTCATCACGGATTTCAATGAAATCCGACCGTATAGGTACGCCGCACAAAACAATGTGGTAGTACTTTCACCTCCTCTCTCGCAAACAAGCCTGACGAGTCGCGCGAAACTATTATCTGACTTCTGGCTGTTAAAATCCGCCAAGGCAGATAGGTTCTTCGTCATCCGACGGAATGAAGCAGGGCCAACCATCTTCGCCACGTTTCTCTTCATATCCGCGGAATGGGTAACGACCTACGTTTTTAGGACTTTTCAGACAACCGGCCCTGCAATATTGAATTCTTCATCTCATCTAGGACTCCCTTCATGTCGGACTGCGTGGCGCTAAAACATCTGTGCAGACAATCCATCTTACGACACTCCAGTATCAGATCTCTCAGGTTACTTCCATTCATCGGTCCTTTTATTCCCTCGGTCCGCAACGGGACGGAATGTTGCGACTAACAATATCTTGGAATCAAAACTAACAGTCGACGTTGAGCTACTACCAGAGACTGCGCCAATGTATTTGCTCTACATGCTCCCATAGAAGGCAGACTTGATACCGTTAACATGCCTTATCAGTATGTTCAACTTCTACGTTGCTTTATCTTGCACGCTTCACATCAAAAAACTGTTATCGGCAGCTTCCATCATAAATCATGCTGGATTATTTTCTGCAAGCATAGTTTACCACACTGCCCGTGATACATTGCATCAACCATCTAGCCTTATAAATAATTAAGGTATCAAATAAGGTGCGCCACAGTCCAGTGCAAAATTGCTATTGAATCAGCTTGCATTAAGTTTGAGATTCTGCTAAAGCGCTCAAGCTAAGGTTTGATGGTGTACCTTCTCCCCCGCATAACCTGCCGTCCTCGTGTTCACAGAAGTTACGGTACTCCAGGGTGCTCCGCTCTACCGTTTGCCTTCTGCCATGATGCCCTTCATAACCGACGCTGTTATGAGCAAGTTATGATCGCGGGTAACTTCTTTCCCGGGCTTACCCCATCACCTGATGACGTCAACAGATCTCGAGGCTCTGTTGTTCATTGCATGGCTTTACACCGCTCTTTGATCAATTTTCCGACTCGAGCATAATTATATGTTGGGACTGATCGTATCCATATTACATTACTAGTCTGACAATGCAAGATGTCGAATTCCACGACATCACCTTGCACTGGCAAGTCAGCCTGAGAACGCTCGAGGTTTGACGATACTTTTCAGACTCTTCCTTCATCTCCGTCTCAGCTGCCATTTGCCCGTTGATGAAAAACCATACTTCTGTTCCCCCATCGCTTCTGTCCCCTATCGTTCACAATGAGTATCAGGGTACACACTGCCTCAGAATTTTTATTGCAAAGTCCCAACCTCCGTCTTCTTTGAATCTGAGCTTCGACTGCACAGGCGCAAGCAGCAAGCTTATCTCTCCGAGGGCCTGTCTACATTCCGTACGTCATTGCTATCACATACAACTAACTCTCATCCTAGTGCAAACTTAATATTTTTGTTTCTTAAGTTAGCGTTTAGACACCCACCACGTTATTCTCGCTAGTACATGTCCGGGGCCGGGTATCGGTATCGGGCACAGATACTGCTCTGCGTTTGTTCCCGATCTACGTGTTAACGCACGCCGCGTGCCTCGTACCAAGGTCAGTTGGTCTAACGGTGCCGCAATCACAACATCATTTCTATCAAGCTCGCACGACGGGCAGTACCTGTATCGTTCGGGGCCGTGCACAGACTAAATACCACCTTGAACCATGGTCCAGTATTCCAATTCTCCTCGATACGTTCGGTTCCGCTGACATTGATCGGCGACTACCTCACCGTCACAAATGCAGCCGTACCCTGAGCACCCACAGTAGTCTTTTTCTCCCCACCAGCAATAGATAAGAACCTGATCCACACCCAACCCCGGGTTCTACCCCGTTGAGATCCCTGCTCAGCATTTACCCTGACATAACCACTGATATCAACTCTCACAGTGGCAATTCCACACCTCGACATATTCGGTGCCGCTCATTTTTCCCATCTCGTACTCCGTGCTTGTGACACAGGCTGTTTTGATCTCGCTCGGAAATACAATGAGAGGGATCTGAGCTTCGAATTCTTTGTCTTGTGGGTCATTTTTGCCAGCGGTGGTATCATCTATGACTATTAATATTAGCGGGGATATTTCCAATGTCTCTTCGCGGGAGGTTTGTTGCTCCATTTGCAATAATCGTGGCATGATAATTGTCATTGATAGGCATCAACATATGCGTTTGTCGGTCCCCGATGACTTCTGAAGGTCAGGGACGTTTGCTTCCTATTGCCTCGGGAATTTCGAATTTGGTCAGGGAGTCGTCGACTTCTTGCGCTGAGTGCGCAAGATAATTACGAGAGTCTATATCTCTACGCATGGTATATCTGCATAAGGAATTAAATACAATATTCATTTGCACGCACATGTCATTCGTTCCTGACAGAATTGAGGAGGTCGTCAATTGCCGAAGGGCTTAAATTTTCAAGACTGGTAGATAACAAGAGGCTTCGCGAAGGTCATTTTGTTCTCCACAATGTCGGATGATCATTGATATCAGATAATGATGCATGATGCATGATGATACAGACGCCGTGCCGCCGGAACTCTTCGTACGATCACATTTACCTGGAAGCGGCCCCTGGACTGTTCAATAGATCAGGCCAACTCGAACCAACTGTAAAACTGTAAGAAATGTCCCGCCGGATAGTAAAATACTGTGAGTGCCTCTACGGCGCTAGAATTTTACGATCGAAGTGGTCAGCGAACCTAGACACATACATACACCCCATCAATCCGCTGTCATCGTGCAGAAGTGGGGTAGAATTCGAACCTCCAGTCCTATTTATAGAGGGTGATGAATCAAGCTATTGGAGACGAATCACGGGAAATGCCTCAACGCAATGCCTCGACATCCGTTGATCGTGCGCGCGAGGAATGTCCCTGCGACTACAAATGCATTGCGATATGACTCGCTTACCTATCATGGAGTGCCGCCAGAGACATCCGTTGATCGTGCGCGCGAGGAATAACCGTTAACCAGCGACTCCACATAAGTACTATGCAGCACATGCATGGATGACTTTAAACTCCGCTGATCGCGAGGCGACTGCACATGTACGAGCAAGTTACGCGGAGTTGCTAGACGAATCATATACCTCCACATCTGCTGCAGCGACCGCGATAGGTGCAAGTTACCCCTGAGGCGAATCAAACACCTTGGATCGTGAGAAATCTGCAAATGACATGCCGCCCAATATATAAACCAACCGTGATAAGTACAATTTACCTAAATCCAAAGCCAGAATAAAAGAATGGCCGTAAAAGTGTCATGTTAAATACGTGGTAAGTGTCAGATCCTAAGTAAGTCAGTATGAGTATCCGAGTTGAGTGAGCAGCAAAACCAAAACTCTGTGTATGGTATCACAATAAAATAATAGATGTGTGGTATAGTCTCTTTTCTTTAGAGCAATATGGTGAAGAAGGCTGCCACAGATGCAAGAAGAGTGAGGGAGACAGCGATATTTGATTTAGAAGATGCAGCGCCGAGGAGGGGGTTGCCTGAGCTGCTGGTCGAGGTAGCTGAGTTAGTCACCTTCGCAGGGTTTGGATTTGAGGTGCCGGTTGCTGTAGAGCTCAAGCCACTGGCAAGCTGTGCAAAACCGACAGCAGCAGGATTGGCACGGAAAACGGAGTACACATTCTTGAGGAACGTGTCACCAATTATCCAGGTGGGAACGTTAGAGCCACTGCCAACGCTGGTGCCAATGTCAAAGATACCACCAGCGCACATCTGAGTCGTAGCAGCCGAGATAGAACCGGAGATAGAACCGAGGTTCATGTCGGCAGGGTTGATCGTCCAACTAGAACCGCCGAAAGATATGGTGACTGTGACATCAGTGGTACAAGCTAGAAATAGATGAGTCTTCTGTTTGTCCAACATTGTACAAGTGATACTGACGGAATGCGTATAGGCCTGCGTATGCTCCCGTAAGCGCTTCGGAGCCTGGAACTTGGGCCCAAATATCTGCGGCAACGGTGGAGGGTGCGGCGATGAGGGTAGTGCCTGTGTCGATGGCAGCAAGGGAACTGGATCCAACACTGACCGTGTTGCCTTGCACAGAGAGCGCTGTTCATTTGTGACCGATCAGTAGAGCGGCGATATAACAAAGTAAAGAAGCTAACAATTAACATTGAGCAACCAATACGATGCCGGACCGGTTAGGTCCAAGTACTCAATGGAGCCCTGGTACAAGCTCGAGTTTGTTCCACCAAGAGTGAGGACACCACCAGGGGCACTGCTCATGGTGGATGCGTCGATATAGCGTGCAAGGTAGAAAGAGAACAAGGGTTCTGAGAGCTGGTTGGCATTATAGAGAGCTTGCCAAAACGGGGTGGCATTGAGGGCAGAAATGGTGTTGAATCCAAGACCCATGATACCTGAGAGTTCGCCATCGATCAAACCAGATGTAGTTGAAGAAACAGCCACTGCGACCGAAAATAAGCCTGAATCTAACTCAAGTCGAGATAGACGTACGTAGTTCTTGTTGAGTGATAGTGAAGCCACCGAAGGTGACAGTGTCTTCGGCGACAGACCCTTTGACTGATCCTGAGCCATAATTAATCTGCAGTGGAGTGCCTGACGACTGGAATGTCGAGGATTTTGAGGTAGTAAACTCATATGATGCGCAAGCGGAACATGAGGATGTCGCAACCCAAAGGTCTGAAGAACCAGTGTCGAGAACAAGATCAAAATTCTGGGGCCTTGGAGACGATAAGTATTTGTGAAGATTGTTTCAATATTGTGACTCACGGAGTCCCAATGCTCACGACACTCGAATAACTGGAATCGTTATCCTAATAGAATTATTATCCAAACTAAATATAAAAGCCCGAATTGCAAACCTCATCAGTGATTGGGACTGCAGCGGTGTTTGCACGCTTGGAATATGTGGCACTTGTTGGCCGAAAACCATATTTTGCCTGTAATGCTTCGACGGCTTTCGGTAAGTTTGCGACTCTATTTGTTTGACTACGTCTGACGATTGGGACATGAATAACACCTGCATCCGGGTGGGGAGCAGCGAGAGCAAAGGGAAGGAGTGCGGCAGCTATTAGAGGTAGAGAAAACATCATAGAACAAGAAGGAGCTCGATGAGAGAGAAAGAAAGAAAGAGAGAAAGTACTTAAACACAAGACTAGCTTGCGTGAGTGGGCTTGTGTCAAGAGGAAACTGAACACTTGGCCTTGCGCAGTGCAGGGCTGTGCAAGCTGATATCTCTTGGCTTCCACGATTAAAGTTATGACAACCTTGTTCCCACCCATGTGGGGTGATTCTGGACCCTAATTCGAAAGGACAATTGTTTTCAAGCAGCCTTCATCGATGCCATCGATGCATCCTTGTTTCAGACTCATAATTGACTTTAGTCGTGCTGCAGATTTTATTCGAGGAGGAACTCGAACTGCGAATTTCCAAACTCATGCGATTACAGTCATGATGCGCTAAATTTCAAAGTTGCGGCAGTGCGTCAGATGACCATGTCATGATCAACTCGTGTACACAGCCTTGGCAAAATCTGGCTGTAGGCTCTAGGTACGGACTCGCTTTGGCGCAGCCACTGTTTTGTATATCATCCTCGGTGCTGTGCATGTGTCCGCAAGAGCCATTCGCATCAGCGTTTCGGGAGGTTGTTAGATCTCGCCATGAACCTTACTTCAACGAGTCCTTGTTCCATCGCAGGTAAGGTAAACATATGATTGCCCCAATTCGATTATCTGCTTTCCCTGTTTCTCAGCGTCTCTCGCGCGTGTCATAACACTGCGATCTAGAATACCTCGGTACGAGGCCGCGTGATGATTATCTTTGTTATCTTAGCTTTATTGCTATGACACTGTGTCCATGTTCTGCCAACGTTTCGTAAGTTCCCTCGTTCCTTTCATCTCGCGATGCATTCCCCTTCAGCGACACGTGCATGAGGTCAACTTGGGTCCAGTTCGATGTCGAGGCCCAATACCGCATGTCCCGGCAATTACATCGCTTGCATTTCACTTCTCCGTTTGCGTCATCGATGTCTCTTGCCCGTGTACAAGCATGCTCTTGTTGCTTTCTTGGCTGTCCCATACAGGATACCACCACAATTGCTTGTATTAGCGGTCCTACTAATAAAGCACTGTTTGTTTTCCCCGCAAGGACATAAATTAGGGGTCACGGTAATAATAAGGCACCATATAAGGATACGCGACCCTCATTTTTTATCGAATATGGAAGGCGTTTTGTGTGCATCAAACGCGTGCTCGACGACTGTCAAACCCATTCATCACATCCAAATCCCTGGCCCATGAAACCGTGTCCGCATAGACACCAAAACACAAAATGAAAAGATCCCAAGACTCCGTATCGTCTCCCCGAAAATCATCTAATCACAAAAAAGCTAAGGTAGCGCCTAACCAGGTCCACCACGCGAGTACAGCACGCGAGGATGATCATGATGCTGGTGAAGCGGAATGGACCCGCGTGGAAAAACGCAAGACTAAAAAGAACAAGAAGGTCGAAGCCAAACACGATGTGTGTCTTATTAGTGCCTTCCTTTGTCGTCCGCAGCTTTTTTTGAATGAGATATATGTTTCTTTCTGGTTTTAGGCACTGATGCCCAGATTCATGTACGTGAACGGTGAGATCGTAAAGAGAAAAGATGCTGTCCATATAAACGTGAGTCACTTGTTTTTAGGAGTCCTGGATATATTGACCCTGCGTCGTCGTCGTAGGACGTTCGAGATTTGGTGTTGCACATAGTCGCAGATGCACCTCCGCCTAACTGGGTCAAGGTTGAGGTATGTTTTCACAAGTTTCATCTCTGGATCATAGTTTTCACCATCATCTGTCCAGCACGCCCGATCGATTGAGAAAGTCGTAACACTCCTCATACCTGGAATCCTTCCTTCTACCTTGGCTCTTCCGCCCCTGCCGACCTCAGCCACCGTTAACCCAAATATTCCACTCCCAATTCCACTTCCTGCGGAATCGCACACTCCCATTCCCTTCATCGCATCTACTTACAGCCATGCATGCCCAACTCGTGCTCCAGGCGACCAAACTCGGATGTACTCCGTTCTCAGCGAGTTCTTCCAATGCCAGGTCACACCACAGGAGAGAGCCAAGAGACAAGCACAGCGAGCCTGTATGTATGCTATCTATAATATCCTTGCCAAGATTGACGATGGCCTCGTGTAGCACAACGTGCCTTCGATGGCACACCGGCATTGTACTTGTTAACGTTGAGGGAGATGATAGAGAACGAGTATCCAATTCCCTCATACATGGCTGATGTATTTGAGAAGGGACCCGGTTGGATCGAGACTCCACAGGCATCAGAAGAATCACTGTTATTGCTTCCAGCAGATAAGCTAGAATCAAAAATATATGCTATCGATTGTGAAATGGTCCGTGACTGCAGAGCTGGATGTAGTGTCGCTAACTCAAACCAAACTCCAGTGCTTGACAGAGGACGGCAAAGAACTCACCCGGGTTTGTATGATCGATTACGAGAGCGGAATAGTCGTATACGACAAACTCGTCAAGCCCCCAAAACCAGTCACCGATTACATGACTAGGTAAGCGGGATCTGACATCTGATGATCAAATCTCGATTCTGAAGATTGTTTCAGATGGTCAGGCATCACAGAATCTTTGCTCGCATCGGCTACGACAACTGTTGCTGAAGTTCAAGCACAGATCATGCCCATCCTCGCACCAAAAGATGGGCCGACCTCCATCCTGGTCGGACACTCCCTTGAATCTGACCTCCGTGCCCTGCGGATCTGCCACCCGAAGTGCATCGACACCGCGGTCGTTTACCATCACCCACGCGGCCGGCCGTTGAAGCCCGGGCTTGCGTGGCTCACCAAAAAATGGCTGAATCGCGAAATTCAGACACGGGGTGATAGTGGACACGACCCGGAGGAGGATGCGCGGGCGTGTATTGACCTCCTGCGGTCGAAAGTAAGATACGGCCCAAGCTATGGGGAATTCAAGACTGATTTTGAGAGCATATATGAGCGTATGGGGAGGGCAAGCGGGAGGGGAGGACCAGGATCTGTACGGAGTGTAGTGGTGGACCATGGAAACCCTGGTGTGATGCATGGATCCAAAGCCAGCTCGAATGTGCCATGTACTAGCGACGCAGAAGTACTCGATGGACTGTTACAGGCTATTCCAGCACACGAATATGCATTTGGACGGTTTACCGGTGTTGCAGATGCACTGGGCTGTGAGTACCGTATAACTGTTCGCCCCATTGTATATACTTATGATTTTTAGGGCTAACACCAAAGACGTCCGCTGGAGAGACCCCAGTCGTCACCCCAGCTGAACCATCGCCCGTTATTCTCGCCAACGCCCAAGCAACTCTTAACAACCAGCTAGTCACCCTCTACGCGTCTCTCCCCGCACGGACGGCATTGATCATTTTCACCGGTCACTCGGATCCCCGACGGATGGCCAGCCTAAATGCCAGGAAATCGGCATTCGAGTCTGCTATTAGGAGCGGGAAGAAGGCCGAAGACATCGATAAGGCAGATTGGTGGACAGCTAGTGAAGGGCGTGAACTCGAGGAGGAAGTGGAGAAGGCGAAGAGAGGATTGTTGTTTTTGGGAGTGAAGTGAAGTGCAAAGGATAGGTTTGTTGGATTTGCATCTCGTTGCTGTCTCATGGTGATTTTCCCTGTGCATATATCTCCACTCTGGCATATTTCATCTTGTGGTTTTATGGTTCATTCGTCCCAGTCCAAACCAAGCACTCCTTCCTTTCCTCCTCGTACAGCGGCTTCCACGGCTTCTGCAAGTTGTCTCAGCGTCCTGGTGTCTTCATCTAACTCTTGAGGCCCCAATAGGTCGTTCTTAAGCTGCCTAGTGTCAACTCCAAGGGCGCGATGTAAGGCATCCTCTCTATCTGCACCTCTGAGCTTGTCTATGGAAGTGAGGAGCTCTGGTAGACGAGGATTCAACTCCAGCACGCGACGCACAGCAGCGGAAGTAGCTAACAGACAGACAAAAGGTTGAACGCAGGAAGGAAAAGTTGTTGAATGGACATACCGATGGCTTCGTATTGGTGAACTTGTAGCGGCCTTGGGTCATCACGTTTCAATGGGTCAGGATATGCTGATTCTTCGGGTACGTAGGGCCAATTGAGAGAAGTGAGAGGGCGTAGCGGCTTTGGATCGTCGACCGTCTCTTCTGCGGATGAAGGTGGTACTGCTAATGTTCTGTCTGAGCAAGGGTCTAGATGAAAGGAAGGAAATGTACCTTCATGAGTCACGGCTGAAGTTTCAGTAGAGCCGCAAGATTCTGTGAGGTGACTTTTTGGATGAGATTTAACTGGCGTGTGTTTTTGTTATACCTTTATGTCGTTTGTAGCATGCAACGGAGCAGCTGAAGATAGATATGAGCAAACGCTTTGAAACGCGATGACACAAGGTAAACATACTAGACAGTCGCCCTGCATTTCGAGCATGTATATTTTGATTCGTTTTCATTACAGACATGGCAAGATCGAGGGGGCATCGTCGAAGTGGACCGTCAAGCGGGCTTCAGACAGTTTCAATTTAATACCGCGTGGCACGTGACCACTGCATTCCTCGGATGTTTTACACCGTTGAGTTTTGGACGAATTCAGCCTGCTCGTTCTTAAGCTGCAGTAGCAGCGTCATTTTTGTTTCATTCTTCGACTGCAGCTGAAACAACTTTACAAGCATGTCCGAAGATGTGACATACGTTGGAAGCGGGAGGTCGATCGATATCGAGCTTGGGGGACAAGAAGTCATCACAATCGATCTTGACAACCTCGATCCGAACCCGGAAGATGTATTGGATCTTTTGAAGGAGGGTCAGTGTAGAGTGTCTGTGTGGACAAAGCTAGCTGGCGAGTACTGGCGAAGGGGTTACCTAGCCGCAGCCGAAAGAATAGCTCATTCCGCTATCGAATGTACGTCTCCTAGCTCAAGTTCGTCATATAACTTACCTGAACAATTCCACAGCATTACAGGCGAACGGAACGACAGCTTCATCTCCTCCAATATACGCCCTTCTTGCAAATATCCAGATAGCTCATGCTCAAAAGGCCCCCAAATTGGTGCTTTCAGAAGCTCGTGAGCTCCGTCAATTTCAGCTTTAGATACCACTGACATGTCGTAGGTGAGGATAAACTGACGAATGTGCGCCCAAAGGAAGAATATTATCGCGAAGCTGCTCAGTATCTCAACACTGGCGAGAGGGCTGCTGCAGAAGGTGGTGAGGGTGTAGGCGGAACTTTGGCATTCTTGACTCGAGGTACTGTGTTTACCTCGTTTAGTCTCCGACTAGCTTATCATGTTCTACAGGAATACAACAACTTGCGACGAGGTCTATGGATGATGCCATGCGTTCTTTTGAGGGTGTACTGGCTGAGAAACCCACTAATGTCGTGGCCCTCCTCGGCAAAGTAGGTCTATTGCCCCATGATTCTAGGTAGTTGGTGACATCTTGGTATCAGGCTCGAATTCTCTATGCTCGAAGGAGTTATCCTCAAGCGCTCAAACTATTTCAACAAGTTCTGCAACTCAACCCGCACTGCATCCCTGACCCACGCATTGGTATCGGATTGTGTCTATGGGCGATGGACTATAAATCAAAAGCAAAAGCGGCATGGCAGCGAAGTTTAGAAGTTGTAAGTACTGGCTTTAATGAATTAACATCACATGACTCAACGCATTCCGTAGAATCCGACAGATTGGCCGGCGCAGCTTTTGCTTGGACTCGAGTCCATTAACGCGAGTAAGACCGAAAATCTCAGCGAGCAAGATCGTGCGCAAGCGTTCCTTGCCGGCACAAAATTCATAGAGAAGGCTTTCAATGCCAATCAAAAGAGCGCTGCCGCCGCCAATGCTCTATGTGAACTCTTCCTCAGGAAGGGTAGCTACAAACGAGTATGTTATTTTTCGTTTCCTTCAGAGAGAGCGCACTTCATACTGCGTCATTAGGCATTGAAACTTGCGGAGCGCACTATTCAGTTCGCTGATACTCTTACGTTACTAACAGAGGGGAACCTCAGAGCTGCTCGGGTGCTACATGCAGAGGGCTCTCTCAAAGAAGCCACTAAATATTACACGACAGCCACAGATGGCCAACCAAAACACGTTTTAGGCGCCATTGGCATGGCACAAATGCAGATCCAGAACGGTAAGCTGACTCGAGAGAAGTAGAAAAGGTAACTAATTCCAGTTTCAGATGAGATAGCTGCAGCGATCCATACCCTTGATCTTCTTCTGCAGCCTCCAAATCCTCAGCGTTCTGTTGAAGCAATGGTTATGCTCGCTTCCCTCCGCGCACACCCCCGTCCAGGAGTTTCGAGCTCAGACTACGCTCAAGAAAAAGCTAAAGCCCGTGAACTATTCGATCGTGCTATCAAAACTCTCGAGCAAGACGATTCGCGTACATCCAATGGTCACATTCCGCAGCACACAGCCAGTTATATCAACGATGACTTGGATATGCATATTGAGATTGCACGACTTTGGCAAGAAGAGAGTCTCGACAGGACAACGCGGGCCCTTAAGGAGGCGCTGAGGCTTAGCGAGGCGAACGAACAGGTCGACCCACGGCTGCTCAATAATATGGGCGCCCTTCAGCATATGGAAGGCAACCTAGCAGAGGCGCGGGCCTTGTATGAAGAATCACTCACTAAAGCAGCTAGCCTGGGCCCGGACGGAGAGGGAATGTCAACATCGATGTTATACAACCTCGCACGGGTGTACGAAGACAGCGGCGACATTACAATGGCGAAGGAAGCATATGACAAGCTTTTAGCAAGACATCCGGAGTATGTTGACGGTGAGTGCAGGTTAACAGTGCTTGTATCTCTATCTGATTGTTCTCTAGCCAAGGTTCGACAAGCGCAAATGCTAGCTGATCTCAATCAATCAAACGAAGCGCACGATCTCTTAAAACAAGCCATGGCATCGCAAAACAACAACCTCAATCTCCGCGCGTTCTACACCTACTTCCTCATCCAAAGTAATTTCCCGAAACCTGCAAAGGATTTCGTCTTTGCCACCCTCAAAGATCACGACAAGCATGATGTCTATTCATTATGTGCCGCTGGCTGGATTCAATATCATCAAAGCCGGGAAAGTCGAGATCCGAGTCCGAAGGGCTTGGAAGAGCGGAGACGTGGTTTCCAGCGCTCTGCTGAGTTCTATGACAAAGCCTTGCTCTTGGATCCGCTCTGTGCTTTTGCTGCTCAAGGACTGGCTATTGTGACCGCGGAGGATGCCCTCGGGAGCTTTGGAGGTGGTCCAGCTACTTCTGGTGGAGACGATCCACAAAAGCGAATGAGGAATGCAAGAGACGCCCTTGATATCTTTGCCAAGATAAGGGAGTCCCTCAACGATGGCAGCGTGTACCTGAACATGGGACATTGTTATTATGCTCGAGACGAGTTTGATCGTGCTATTGAGAGTGTGAGTCTTCCATAGTCTATTTCACTATTTTACAGTTGGATTGACGTGCATATGCCCTAGTATGAGACAGCATCTGTACGATTTTACAGCGGCCATAATGTTTCAGTGCTCCTATGTTTGTGTCGAACATGGTATGCCAAGGCTAGCAAGGATCAGTCCTTTGTTGCTATGAGTACAGCGCTCAAATATGCACAAAAGGCATGATTAAATTTATGTCTTTTCACTTCCGTTGGGACTAATTTTTAATAGGCCCTCCACTTACAACCGAGCGACAAGGCTATCCTGTACAATATCGCCATGGTTCAGCAAAAAGCTGCAGAACTACTCTTTGGCCTGAGCCCGTCGAAGCGTACCCTGAAAGATCTGGAATGGGCAATATTGCAGGCCGGGCATGCGCAACGGTAAGATCATTTCGTTGACAGTATCTTGGCTCAATTAAAGAGTATCATTAGATTATTCGCTTCTCTTGCCGCGGACTCTGGCTCTGTCGTACCCTACAGTCGTGATATCGCAGACCAGCGTAGGAAATACGGTGAAAGTATGCTGAGACGAGGAGACGAGCATCTAGCAACACAAAAGGAGTTTGAAGCTGAAGCGCAGGCGAAACTCGTGGCTGCTAGGCTGAGGAGACAAATGGAGAAGGAGAAACTGGAGGCTATTGAGGTACGCACTTTCATATTTTTGTTCACGTTCTGTCTCTGAGCTACCTCCGCAGCAAGAAAGGGTCGAGGAACACCGCCGGCAAGCGGAAAAGCTTGCAGAAGAGCGTCGTAAGGCGAGGGAACAAGCTCAGGAATGGACAAGGGAGGTTCAAATGGAGAGCGATGAAGAGCGTGAACGGAAATCCAAGAGAGCCGCTAGGAAGGTCAAAGTCGAAGGGGAGAGTGGAGACGAAGGGGCTGAACCTAAGAAGAAGAAGAGAAGCGGAGGCAAGCTCAAAAAAGCTATTGATCAGGATGTCGACAACGAGCAGCTCTTCAGCGATGATGAAGTCGACAGCAAACCAGCAAAGAAGGTACGATGTTCTGATCTAGTTTGACTGCGAAGGTACTGAGCTTATCGAACCAGCGTGTCCCGAAAAAACGGGTGGTCAGAGATGATGAAGATCAGGACGCTGTTGGAGGACCACGCAAAAAGCAATAGTACGTCAGGCATCTACATTTTCTGAGCTTTTTTGCTAATTCTTCTCGCCAGTAAAAGCAAGGAAATTCTATCGGACACTGACGATGAGGAGATGTCATGATACCGGTAGATTTCTCAGTATTATCCATGTTACTTTCGTTCGCATTGGGCTCCTGTCGAGTCACCTTCACCATTTTTGTTTGAAGTTCAGAATTGCTCCGTATAAATATATGTTGTACCATGCTGATCTGAAGCGAACGCCTATCTTCTATGTTGTAGCTCAGGAGAAGAGCAAGGAGCCGTAAATATAGGTGTAGCTATTTTCTGTCCGTATGTTAGTGCTTACATAATTTATGCTTATTACTGCCCGCACCCGATTGTAAAGGTTGCTTCTCTGTTCTCCCCATCACTATGCGACGATCGTTCACTCCGTCATGATTCGAAGAACGTCAAGTACTCACTCGTTCATACGACATTTGAGTACTGAGTCGCCATGAGGAACAAGTCTTACAATTTCAAACTGCACTCAAACTCAGATATAACGGAGCATCGTCGGACATTGCACTATCTGCTGTAACTTAAACTTGAACCAATCATTTCAGCTAAGCCATCACTGACAATATCTGAGGTAGTTTAGTTTATCATGAAAGGTTCTGCTCACATAAATTTGTGCCATTCGACAGCGATGACCATTCTTCCAGACCAATCAGAACTCCTGAGTTCTCCAATGCTAGTAGTATAAAAGCAAGCAGTCTTCCTACTGCGTCCCCCCATCCTCAGAGTTAGCATTCGGGGTAATCCTAGCAGATTTCTCACCCCTCACAACAATGCATTTCTCCTTCCTTGCCACTATCGTTGCTCTAACAGCGGCATGTACGGCTGTCAGTGCATGCAACCAATTGCACCAACCTTGCAAAATTGACTCGGACTGTTGTTTTGGCTTGAAATGTTTGCCGGATGTGAGTATGATCAGTTTTGTTGTGTATCCAGGATTCAACAACATGACTGGCCCTCACGCTATGTAATTTAGGATGACGTGTCTTTATGCGGGGATCCCTCTAGAATGAAGTAGCGGCCAGAGTAACACGTCCCGATAGTGAGTTATGTTTCTGCTTTAGCTTTGGTGCTATGGTTGAACGTTGAATGCTGATGTATTCGAGGTCAGTCACTTCTGCACAACTTTCAATGCTGCTTGCGCAATGTATCTTGTAGGGGGACCTTTGAGCTTATACGGGATACTCTACAGTGTGAAATTGACTTGGAAGCATTTGCTATGTTGGAGGGAGGCTCCTGGGCAGTGGGTCGGGCAGCAAGCGGTGTTCGCTGATTTTGGGCAGTGTTTATAGCATGTAGCTCGCATGTAGTAACATAGTTCCTCATGTCCTTCCTTCGCCGTCTACCGACGGTTTGCCTGGATGGTCACCAGCCTAGGAGTAGGAGAAACATACCATTCGATTTACAGTTGCAACAAATACCGACGGACGGCGGGCTTCTGACTCAGTCTTGTAGATTCCAAACAGACGTGTATCGGCTTTTAATTGTAAACATCACCCGAAGCTTCCAGCATAATTATATACGAACTGCTCGAGGGCATCCTGTTAAATGTGTCTGGTGCAGAGTAAGTTAAAGCGTCGGCGAAGATGTGCCGCAATAGCCATGGGGCGAACCACCCTTTCGACGGAACGGAAAATATTCGCGGATCTGAGAAAGTACCTTGCAGTCATGTTTCACTTCCGGTTGGCCGAAAGCGTTGTGTTTTCTTGGAAACGGTCAACAATGATGATTCATATGAAAATTTGAATCTTTCACCACTGCGGTAGAGCCAATCCTCCTTTCAGGGTAGAAAAAAGAAAGATTCGCATCTGGTATGGATTGAGCATGGGGCAAGCAGAGATAAGACACACCATCAGCATCTGTGACTTGCCCGAAGATTCTGATACTCCTCGTTACGTGATAGAGCGATGAAACCTGTGCAATCCTGAAAGACAAACCCAACGACGTCTGAGTGATCCAATGGCACCTTTTCAGTAGAGCTACCACCGATCGATGTCTTCTGTGTGATATTGCGAAGCGTACAACACCATCCTCCGAGTAAGGTCCAACATAGACAGGCTGGCAGAATAGTACTTGGAGAAAGCGGAGACATCGGACCATTTGAAAGGCCGAATAACGATACGGAGATGCACGTGGCGCTTTGTGTGCACAGCAAGCACTGTGAAGCTGTGGAGACGACACGAGGATAACGAATGCCTTAGCAGACGACTTATACCAATACTTGCGCAGCCCTCTCGACCCTAAAGGCGAACATCCACTATCTTAGCTACCAGCCTGCCCCTCTCGTTATTGCGCGGAGTGAATCAGTCCCAAGTGGGACTTTACCGTGAGTGATACTGTGGTTGGGAGTAGAAAAAGCTGAAGTGAGGAAAAGATACGACCACTCCCCGGCCGGTATTGAGGGATATCTCCTGGATACGTCGTCCCGAAGCTGTCTGTGAGCCAGGATAGAATTCGCCTGGGTAGAACCTCTCGTGAGCAATCCCTCTGGACATCCCTATTGACATGCCAAAGTCAGGTGAAAGCACATAGGGCAGTGAAACCACCCACTATCTATACCCCACAGGACAACTCATTCTGAAGCAACGATCTGCTCTCGTGCATATAGTCCACGATTCCCTTGATCGAGATCCCCGAACGCCCATCATGTCTTCTACTGCCGCTAATGTGAAAAAGACGTCAGCGGTAACCCCCTGCAAGACGATACGAGGCCATACTAAGGCAGTTACAGGCGTTGCACACCTGCCCGGTGTGCAGCGCATAATCACATGTTCGGACGACAGCTCACTTCGACTATGGGACATAAGGAGCAGTGCACAGGTAGGTAGCGAGTGGCGAGATGAAGGGGATGAGGCAGCAATAATTGCCATGTCGTTGTCTCCAAATGGCAAGAGTATTGCCACTGGCAGCGGAAGCGATGTCGGGACAGTGAGGTTGTGGGATGTCGAGACGGGGAAGGTTGTCGTCAAATGGACAGGACACACTTCTTCTGTGCAGTCAGCATGCTGGAGTCCAAATGGTGGGCGAGTTGTGAGCGGATCAGACGACGGGACGGCAAGAGTGGGATGTGGAGAGCGGCGAACCAGTCGAAGGTCTGAATCCAATCAAGACAGGACACAGACGTGTGCATGCGGTAAGATACTCACCCGAGGCATCGATGATTGCGACAGGAGGTTGGGACAAAAATGGAATAAAAATCTGGGACGCGAAGACGGGCGAGCTGCTGTCGACGATCAAACTCGATTGGACAGTTTGGAGCTTAACCTGGACATCGGATGAAAAGAAGCTTATTGCCGGGTTTGGGGGGGGTGAATACTCGATTGGGATATTCGACACTACCACATGGCAGCAAATCGCCGTTCTGGAGGGTCACACAATTGTTGTCTACTCCCTCACTTTATTTCCCAACGACCGCCTCCTTGCGAGTACATCTTGGGATAAGACAGCGCGTCTCTGGAATCTTGACACAAACCTCCAAATCGGGCCACCTCTTCAACACAAACATGACGTCGAGTGTGCGGCCTTTTCCGCTGATGGAAAGCTGCTATCCACTGCAGGTCGGAGCGATAAAAACGCGTACATGTGGGACATCCAAGACATCCTCAAAACAGCTGACCTAGAAGATCTCCTGTCCATACCTGATGTGAGTGCCAACTTGTCTCCCACTCGCTATCTCATTCCCAATGGCTATCAGGCACAAAAATCTGGACTCAAAAACAAGGTATGTATCATCTTGCGACTTTTCAAGAATGAAACACACTAATGTCCACACGCACAAGCTATCAGATGTACGCTGTGTCTTTTCCTGACCTTGATATCGATCCTGATATCAGCATTCCAGGCTAATGCTACGCGACGTCCGCCTATCCGTCCAGCCCCACGTCGAGTGCCACAAGGCTTTTTCGATAATGTGCAAGACAGCAGTCCTGTGAGTTACCACCATTTACCTGCACGAGTTATTCTGATTTTCATATTTTCAGTCCTCCACTACCCATCCTGATCCATCTCTCCATCGCCTCCGCAATGCGTTTGCACTCTCCTGGGGATCACGTCCACGTGCGCTCCTCGCTAGCCTTCCCTCACTCTTCCACCGTTCCCAACCAAACACCGATGAACATGTCGAACTCCAGCAACGCATAGAACCTAGTACTTCCTCTCGCCGCAGCCCTCCTGTTGTCGACGTCCCTGCACTAGATGACAAGAAGGTATGTCGTTTGAGGGACGTGTTGTCAATAGCTAGCGTCTCAAGTTTTATCTGCAGGCACTGTATGTTTCTCGGCCGCGGGAACGAGCTAGCGACAAAGCAAAACGCGTCGATAACTCCAAATGGTGGGCTCGTGTTGTGCTGTTCCTCTGCTGTGCGTCTCCGTCCAACGACGCCGGTCACTGATAGTGTTAGAACATGAACGGTCACATTCATATTGATATCCTCCTTCTGTTGTATTTCAGTGCCTTTTTATTATCATTAATGACAATCGTCGACGCCTCGTATTTTAATTTGTCTGTAAAGCGACAAGTCGATATGCACGCCAGTTAGCGAGGACTGTCTCACTTGGAGGAGCTCGGGAAATAAAGTAAGGCACTCTGTCAAATATTGGTGAAAGATGCACATTAACTTAATGCGCCAGTGTCGTGCCCGAGGCTTGAGCACTTGAGTGTGACACTTCGTCTGCACAGCGCTGTGAAGCTAAGATAACAGGATAACACAAGGAAGACACCTTACAAATAAACGCTCGTGCAATTCCCTGAACTCCAAACCAAGTGTCACCTGTCTCAGTCGACAGTGTTTCCTTCCTCTCATAGATTGGCGGAGCATATCTGTGTATGAGCGGGACTGCAAGTGAGACTCATAGCAGTTATTACAAGAGGACCACTGACTAATAGGCATATTAAGGATCCTCGTCGAGATCTGCTTCAAACATTCGACAGCAAGTAGCGAGCAACTGCTCTACACATCATCCTGAAATTGTATTGTGCATAGAAATCCGTTACATGCTTCTACTGACATGAACTCGGATGAAATAGGATTGTTGACTTACCAACGATCTTGGCGCCTGCAAGTCAACGACAACCCGCTCTAAGTCAAGCAAGAGCTCAACGCGCTGCTCCCGCATATCACCCATGAATCGTTTTGTTGAGACCCCCGAGCACAGACCATACCTTCAGCCGCTGCTGAGACAAAAAAAAGTCAGTAGTGAAGCCCCATAAGACAACACGAGGCTATACCAAGCGGGTACGAGGCATTGCGCACTTGCCTAGCGGACAGCGCATTATCACATGTTCATTTGATGCAGGAGTAAGGACTTGTCTCCAAACGGTAAGACTATTGCCAGTCAAAGCGATGATGAAACTGTGAAATTGTGTGACGTCAAGACCGGTCCGGAAAGGTTTTCGCCAAATGATGAGGGCACGCGAAATTGGTGGACTCGGTGTGCTGGAGTCCAGATTGTGGGCGAGTGGTGAGTCGAGGTTTGGACGGTACAGTAAGAGTGTGGGATGTGAAGAGCGGCGAACTAGTCGAAGGTCTGAATCTATGATAGAGACGCAGTACCAGCACGTGAACAGTGAGCTACTCACCAAACGCAACAATGGTTGCTACAGAAGGATTCAACGAAGATGTAATTGAAATTTGGGACTCAAAGACAGGTGAACTCGACATTCAAATAAAACGAGTGAACTTGTTGGCAAAACAACCGAGTTTTGCCAGCCGGTTGTGCCTGGTCATCGGCGAAACTCGTGCAAAGGGAGGGTGGCACATGACTAGTCTGACTCGGCGGAACTCCAAACTCGTGGAGAGATCTGATGATATATAGTTTGAATTCGATGGGGCAACCGGCAAAACTGACCCCTGCCCCCTACACTGGCCTGGACATTAAGCTTATCTCCGGATGCTGGAATGGCCCGCTACAGCAGATCACGGTTAGTAGTTACACAGATTGAGTATCGCTACAGACGAGACTTGGTGAGAAAACTCACGTAGTAAGTATGCTTGCATGCGAGTAATCTCGATTCTCACTGGTGCACCATCAAATTGATGGGTCGAAAAGTGGGAGAGGCCAGAAACAAGTGCACCTACCCAACACGGCAAAATCGGAGATCTGGAAACACTGGGGTGTAAAGGGGTGTGCCTAAACAGTGGAATCAAATGTGCGTGAAGCGGGGAAGGGTGGACCAAAAAGTGTTAAACCAAGCGTCGTGGGAAAGCGTGAAGCTTCAGGACTACTCAGTGATCCTTCATGCACATGAAACTACAGACGAGTCAAGAAACTATGTAGACACATTGTGCATCAAGGTGTGTCTTATCACATACTAATATGACAGTATAGCCTGGCAGTTTCGGATCGTAAGTCAGGATGAATTTCAGTTCGGAATCGGATAGCAGAGAGGCTCCAAACTTCCACAGAACCATGTGTATGGATCAAAGTTAAACCATCTCAGTCGTCACGGTCACCTAATGAATGTGGATACTGAAGGTGATTTTGTAATTCCCGGTTGATTCATTTATTTGTCTTAATACTATGTGACCAGTGCTTCAGGTTCATTCCAAACCGCCCACCCGCAACCACACAGTATGGTGGCTCCGAGAGCTCCAGAAATTTCCAAGTCGCACCCACAACCAAGTGCAGATGAGACGACTCTCGCCAAGCTAGGATACAAACAGGAGTTTCACAGGGAATTCACTCCGCTAGAGGTAAACTTGATTCAGGCTCTTCTATGTATGCGGCACAAGCTAACAACTGCAGGTGTCTGGACTTGCATTCAGCTATGCTGGAGTGGTTCCTTCTATAGTGTAAGTCGCCACTATGACAAGACAATTGAAATCGCACCATTGATGATAAGAACTTATTCAGCTCCGTGCTCTTCTACGCCATACCAAATGGTGGGCCTTTCGCGATGGTTTGGGGTGTAAGCTTTCATCACCCGTGTCGATTGAAACATCTCACTTTTCCTCTGCGCAGTGGGCAGTTGCTTGCCCCTTTATCATGTGCATCGGATTGACGATGGCGGAGCTCGCATCTGCGGCACCTACTTCTGGTGGTGTATGTCATTGTCATTGCCGCTGTTTTACACTTGACTCAACACAATACAGCTATACTATTGGACTTACTCGCTCGCCTCTCCACGATGCCGCAATTTTCTGTCCTGGATAGTTGGCTGTCAGTCCTGCATTTTTATGTGACATGCAGCCAGTCCTGACACCTGCAGATTCGAACACCATAGAGATGATCGCGGGAGTCGGTAAGACGAGTCTCATTTTTCAACAGTCTCCCCCTGATTATGTGGGGATAGCTTCCGTAAACTGGGCTTGTGCAATTCAAATCACTGCAGCAATTACTATTACCTCCTCTGACCAGGCATATACGGCTACCAACCAGCAGCTCTAGTAAGCTCGTCCTCATGTAGACACGATAGTTTTCATATCGGTTGTTATAGTGGCATATACGCAGCTGTGCTTTTGTCGCAAGCTGTCCTCGTGAGCTTCGGTACCAAAGTTCTGGCAAGGCTACAGAGACTATTCACGTTGGTGAATGTGCTGTAGGTGTTGTAGAGTTCGTGCATGATCATTCTTTCAAATCCTCCGATAGCCTTTGCTTCATAATCATCATTGCGCTTCCGATCGCAACGCCATCAGATTATCGAAACAGTGCAAATTTTGCGCTGGGGGATTTCACCAATCGTATGTACCATCGTCCGATTAGGCTCGCAGCTCACCATCAGTTGCAGTGGTCGGCTGGCCGTCTGGATTCGCATTTATTTTGAGCTTGATGGCTCCTCTCTCTGCAATAGGTTGGACCATATTCTCTCGAATTATCACTCCATGAACCATCTTTAACCCACCAGGGGGTTATGATGCTGCCGTTCATATGAGCGAGGAGGCTTCAAATGCCGCTATTGCGATACCATGGGCAATAGTAAGTGATACCAGAAATGACTAAGTGTTGTATTTATCCCAGTCAGATTAGTTCCATTGCTTTATCGGCCGTCCTCGGTTGGGGTGTGTTGGATGATATGTCACTCTGATCCTGATGACACATTCTAATCCAGGAATCAACATCACCCTTGCCTTTTGCATGGGCACTGATGTCAGCAGCGTCTTAAACAGCCCTACAGGCCAGCCTATGGCACAGATCTTATACAATTCGCTCGGGCAGAAAAAGGCCCTGGCTCTGTGGTGGCTCATTATTGTAGCGGAGTACGTTCTAGTACCGTAAGGCGTATTCACAGCCTAATTATAGAGCAGGTACATGATGGGATCGACCTACCTCCTAGTTGGCTCTCGCCAAACGTTTGCATTTGCTCGTGACGGAGCCCTCCCTTTTTCACGGTATCTGTACCGGATCAATCGTTACACAGAAACACCCGTCAACACAGTTTGGTTCGACACCATCTGCGCTCTGGCCATTGGACTTTTGGCGTTCGTAAGTACCGAAGCCATCAATGCGGCATTCACGATTAATGTCACCTCGTCGTACGTCGCTTACATACTGCCGATCACGACCCGCTTTGCGTTCAAGAATGATTTCAAACCCGGCCCATTTTATCTGGGGAAACTGGTGGGTCCATCAGCAGCGATGTGTTATTGAACTAATACGTCTGTACAGAGCTTTCCAGTCGCTGTGATCGCTGTGGCGTGGATGGTCTTCGTGATCCTTGTTTTCTTCTTTCCTGCGACCCCGCAAACGACGATACAAGAGATGAACTATACGGTTGTGGTACTTGGAGCGTCCATGTTTCTCGCAATTTCCTGGTATTATTGTCCGGTATACGGAGGCGTACATTGGTACACTGGACCCATATATAACTTTACACCGGCTATTGGAGGTGAAGACGGACACCGTGACGAGGATTCGATGTCGGAGAAGGAACAAGGCGTCTCTATTCAAGCGGTGGATTTATAAGTAGTATTCATTTTTTTCCCAGTCCAAATTCAGTATTTTGGTATAGGGTGTAGAATCAACGGATCTCATTTACATCGTAATTATAACACGCGAGGGATGTACTAAAAATCTTGATAGGACCTGGTGAGGATGAATAAATTCCCACTCAATCCTAACAGTTTGCCACACCATCTTCCGGACCGAGTCCAAACTGTATAGGGTGCAGAACATGCACATGAGGTATAGCATCCTGTCAAATGTGTCTGATGCAGAAATAGTTAAAGCGTCTGCGAAGATGTGCAATAGCCATGGGGCGGCCATGTAGTTACGTACAGGTTCGTGCACCTCCCTTTCGACGCAGGGACCAAAGATATTCGGGGATCTGAGAAAGTATCATGGCGATCTTGTCATCTTTCACTTCCAGCTCTGATCAGAAGCGTCGTATTTTCTTAAAAACGGTCCTTTACATCACTCCGGCAGAGCCAACCCCTACTTTCGGGATAGGAAAAAGAAAGAGTCAGATCCGGCATGGGTCGAAGGTGGGGGAAGCAGAGATAAGACACGCTGTCGGCATCCGTGCATTGCCCAAAGATCTTGATACTCCTCATTGCGTGATAGAGTGATAAAACTTGTTTAGTCTTGAAAGACAAGCCCAATAACGTCTAGTAAGTGATCCAGCAGCACCTTTCCAGTGGAGCTACCACCAATCAATGTCTTCCGTGTGATATTGAGAAGCGTACAACACCGTCCTCCGAGTAAGGTCCAAAACAGACAAGCTGGTAGAATACTTGAGGAAAACGGAAACGCGTCAGACCATTTGAAAGGCCGAATAAAGATACAGAGATGCACGTGGCGCTTGGTGTGCACAGCATTGTGAGGCTGTGGAGACGACACGAGGATAACGAATGCCTTAGCAGACGACTTATACCAATACTTGCGCAGCCCTCTCGACCCTAAAGGCGAAGATCCACTATCTTAGCTACCAGCCTGCCCCTCTCGTTATTGCGCGGAGTGAATCAGTCCCAAGTGGGACTTTACCGTGAGTGATACTGTGGTTGGGAGTAGGAAAAGCTGAAGTGAGGAAAAGATACGACCACTCCCCGGCCAGTATCGAGGGATATCTCCTGGATACGTCGTCCCGAAGTTGTCTGTGAGCCAGGATAGAATTCGCCTGGGTAGAACCTCTCGTGAGCAATCCCTCTAGACATTCCTATTGACATGCCAAAGTCAGGTGAAAGCACATAGGGCAGTGAAACCACCCACTATCTATACCCCACAGGACAACTCATTCTGAAGCAACGATCTGCTCTCGCGCATATAGTCCACGATTCCCTTGATCGAGATCCCCGAACGCCCATCATGTCTTCTACTGCCGCTAATGTGAAAAAGACGTCAGCAGTAACCCCCTGCAAGACGATAAGAGGCCATACTAAGGCAGTTACAGGCGTTGCACACCTGCCCGGTGGGCAGCACATCATCACATGTTCATTCGACAGCTCACTTCGACTATGGGACATAAGGAGCGGTGCACAGGTAGGTAGCGAGTGGCGAGATGAAGGGGATGAGGCAAGAATAAATGCCATGTCATTGTCTCCAAATGGCAAGACTATTGTCAGCGGAAGCAGTGACAGGACAGTAAGGTTGTGGGATGTCGAGACGGGGAAGGTTGTCATCAAATGGAAAGGACACACGGCTTTTGTGAGGTCAGTGTGCTGGAGTCCAAATGGTAGGCGAGTTGTGAGCGGATCACAGGATGGGACGGCAAGAGTGTGGGATGTGGAGAGCGGCGAACCAGTCGAAGGTCTGAATCCAATCAAGACAGGACACGGGTCGGTGTGCGCGGTGAGCTACTCACCCGAGGCATCAATGATTGCCACAGGAGGATTGAACAACGGAATCAAAATCTGGGACGCGAAGACGGGCGAGCTGCTGTCCACGATCGAACTCGATCGGACAGTTTGGAGCTTAACCTGGACATCGGATGAAAAGAAACTTGTCGCCGGGTGCGGGAATGACCCGATTACGATATTTGACACTGCCACATGGCAGCAGATCGCTGTTCTGGAGGGTCACAGATCTGTTGTCTCCTCCCTCACTTTATTTCCCAACGACCGCCTCCTTGCGAGTACATCTTGGGATAAGACAGCGCGTCTCTGGAATCTTGACACAAACCTCGAAATCGGGCCCCCTCTTCAACACAAAAATTTCGTCACTTGTGCGGCCTTCTCAGACTCCGCTGATGGAATTCTGCTACCCACTGCAGGTTGGCAGGATGAAAATGTGTATGTATGGGACATTCAAGCCATCCTCAAAACAGCTGGCCTAGAAGATCTCCTGTTCATACCTGATGTGAGTGCCAACTTGACTCCCACTCGCTATCTCATTCCCAATGGCTATCAGGCACAAAAATCTGGACTCAAAAACAAGGTATGTATCATCTTGTGACTTTGTATTTTTACATCAAAAGTTGAACCCAAACAGGAGCTGCATCCATCATCTAGCTTTTCAAGTGTAGAGCACACTTCTCTCTCCGAGCCATCGCAGGACATAGAAGACAATTCATTTTTGGAGGTATGTTGGCGCGTTTGTCAACCTATCGATCATGATACTGACGTTGACATTCCAGGCTGATGCTACGCAAGGTTTCGACCAGTTCGGGGCACATGAACTCCTACCAGGATTTTTTGACAGCCCGCAAGTCGATGCTCATGTGGGTCACCAATATTTCTGCCAATCAGTTCTTGTCCTGACCCCTTTACTCTCAGTCCCCCGCAATATTTGGTGCCCGTCTGAGGTTTTCTGCACTACTTGGTCGCTTTCCCTACCTCCTTCACCGTTCCGAACCCAATCAAGCGACAGAAACTCAGCAGCCTCCAGTGCCTTCGGAGTCACGTTCGCGTGTGCTCTTCGATCGCCTATCCTCACTCCTTCGCTCTCCGCCGAACACTGATGAGATATCTGAACCTTCGCAACCTCCAATGCTTTCGCGATTAAGTCCACGAGTGCTCCTTGGTGACTTATCCGGACTTTTTTCCCGCCCTCAAATCCACGTCAACGAAGCAACCGAACCTTGGCGATCCCAAACGCCTGGGAGGTCACGTTCAGATGCACTCATTGGTCCCCTGTCTTCACTTTTCCGTTCTCCACCCAACGCCGATGAAGCAATTGAACTTCAGTGTTGCCCAGGGCCAACTACCTCTCATCTCAGTCGTCATGTCGACGATGTTGCCGCAATGCGGGACAGGGAGGTGCGTTTTTCTTGGATGTATCCTAATTCCTGGGTCCGATGATTCTTGTGCAGGTGTTAGTTGTTGCTCGTCGGCCCGACACTGCTAGTGAAATAGCCAGGCGCGTCAAGAACCCTAAACCATGGGTTCGTGTGGTATTTTTTCTCTGTTGTGTGTCTCCAGGTACCGACGACGTCACTAGCAGCACATAAACACCTATTTTGTTTTCATCACTTTAGTTCTTTGTTTCCACCTGCCTTATCATTGTACCAAATATCATGTATTTCTGCGCACCAGCGCATGTTTCTACCCTCCTGCAGATGCAACCTCTTTTCAACATGAAGGGTTCGCTCGTTTCCAACGAAGTCAGAATTAGGTTCGGATGTCCACGACTTCGCATGACTCTTCGGGGCGTTGATGGGCGTTGTGCATACAGCGTCATCACTCACCACTCCATTCTAGCTCGACCTTCCCGAGGTCGTCATCAACGAGACAAAGTTTGCATAGACGCAGTATGTGCCTATGGTGTTGTTCACCGTAGTGTTCTAACCATCATCACATTCAGACATCAATCAATTAATTTCTGCTCTGCTTTAAATTTTCCGCGTTTTCCTAGTCCGTGCCGCTGTTCAGTCGTCTTTATGCACTCGACCTAGCAAGGTCACCCATCACCTAGAATCTCAGCGAGCAAGATCGCGCCCAGACCTTCCTTGCTGGCATAAAATTCGTAGGAAAGGCTTTCAATGCTAACCAGAAGAGAAGAACCATCGATCAAGATGTCGACAACGAGCAGCTCTTCAACGATGATGAAGTCAACGGCAAACCAGCAAAAATAGTACGTCAGGCAACTAGATTTTCTGAGCTTTTTGTTAATTCTTCTCGCCAGTAAAAGCAAGGAAATTCTATCGGACACTGACGATGAGGAGATGTCATGATACCGGTAGATTTCTCAGTATTGTCTATGTTACTTTCGTTCGCGTTGGGCTCCTGTCGAGTCACCCTCTTTGAAGTTCGAAATCGCTCTGTATAAATATATGTTGTACCATGCTGATCCAAAGCGAACGTCTATCTTTTATGTTGTAGCTCAGGAGAAGAGCAAGGAGTCGTAATATAGATGTAGCTGATGAGTCTGTCCTTACGTCAGTGCTTGATTTATGCTTATTACTGCCAGCAGCCTTCGTCAACAACCTTTCATGCTAAACTGATCAGAACTCCCGAGTTCTCCTCACCACTATGCGATCACCGTTCATTCCGTTCACCTCGTCAACAGTGGTGTATTTTTAATCCAGACGGGCTGCGGAACATGGGAATAAAGTACGGCACTCTGTCGAATGTTGGTACAGGAAATGATGGTTCAAGATGCACATGGCAGAAGTGTCGTACCTGAATGCTACATCTGCACAGCGAATGCTGTGAAGCTGTAGAGACAAAGATAACGAATGGAACGCGTACCTTAATAGACGACTTAAACGATCACTTGAGCAACTCCTCGATTTTCCAAACAGAACATTTGCTTGACCTTGATGTTGATCCTGATATCGACATTCCAGGCTAATGCTACGCGACGTCCGCCCATCCGTCCAGCCCCACGTCAAGTGCCATCAGGCTTTTTCGATAACGTGCAAGACGGTGGTCCTGTGCGTTACCACAATTAAATTTCACTGCTCTCTCTTATTTTCATATTTTCAGTCCTCCACTACCCGCCGTCGAGTCCATCCTGACCCCTTTCTACATCGCCTCCGCAATGCTTTTGCACCGTCCTGGGTATCACGTCCACGTGCGCTCCTCCCTCGCCTTCCCTCACTCTTCCACCGTTCCCCACCCAACACCGATGTACTAAACGAACCTCAGCAACGTCCACTGGGACCTGGGACCTCCTCTCGTCGCAGTCCTTCTGTTGTTGATGTTCCTGCACTAGATGACAAGAAGGTATGTCGTTTTAGGGATGTGTTATCAATCGATGGCGTCTCAAGTTTCATCTGCAGGCACTGTATGTTGCTCGGCGGCCAGAACGAGCTAGTGACAAAGCAAAACGTGTCGACAACTCCAAATGGTGGGCTCGTGTTGTGCTATTCCTCTGCTGTGCGTCTCCGTCCAACGACGACGGTCATTGATGGTGTTAGAATATGGACGATAATATTCATATCGATACCCTCCTTTTGTTATATTTTCTGTTATCATTAATGACAATCATTGACGCCTCGCATGCTAGTTTGTCTGTAAAGTGACAGGTCGATTTGCACGCCAGTTGGCGAGCACTGTCTCGCTCGGAGGAGCTCGCTATGGCTTGATCTCACTAATCTATCCAGTACATTTCATGAACGTGCTTAATTCATCCCTCGAGCACTAGACTCTGTTGTATGTGGATGCTTCTCTGAAGAATGCAACACGATCTACTCGCCCAGTCAGTGTTGCAACGTCCGAATGCCTTGCTCGGCACCAGCCCTCCCGCAGATTTAATTTATTTCCAACATGAGGGGTTCGCTCGTTTCTAGATTAGGTCAAGTATTCCTTTTCAGATGTTCACAACTTCGCCTTACTCTTCGGGGCGTTGATGGGCGTTGTGCATACAACGTCATTACTCGCCACTCTATGCCTTCTTGAAGTCATCACAAACGAGACAAAGTCTGTATGGATACGTGTCTGACATTATTCACTATCGTATTCTGACCGTCATCATATTCATACATCCATTGATTAATTTATGTTGTGGTCTAGATTCTTTTGTGGAAGTTCCCTAGTTCATGCCGCTGTTCAGTCATCTCTATGCACTCTACCTAGCCTCAAGGCCGCCCATCTGACCACTTGAACCATTGCTTTCAGCCTCATAATTTAGTTTGTTTCATTTCCTGTATCGTATTCGGCTGATTGGTCTTGAACAGGACACAAATTTTGATGTGTATACGATTCACTATCGCAGTGGCCGGCCTGGGTCGAGCAACTTTGAAACGGTAAGACCAAGAGTCTCAGCGAGCAGGTTCGCTTCCTTACTAGCACAAAATGCCAACCAAAAGAGTGCTGCTACCACCAATGCGCTATGTGAACTCTTCCTCAGAAAGGGTAGCTACAAACGAGTATGTGATTTTTCGTCCCCCTTCGAAAACGCACTTCACACCATGTCACTGGGCTTTAAAGCTTGTGGAGCGCAGTATTCTGTTCGCAGATACCCTTACGTCTCTCAGACGAGCTGGTCACGAGACAACGCCGGCTTCAATCAGACCTAGTACTCTACATTTCCTTCGTCTTTTCATGTAACCGGCGACATGACCGTCGTGCGCAAGTTCTGCTTAACACCACCTAAACTTCTGCTACACCCAGAGTTATTATTCAAGATCTCCCTTGGTAGATTTCATATCACCTCACGAATGATTTGTTGTTGCGTCACCTGATGAGTGAGACGATTTCCTTCACTCGTTAGATATTGCGCTTACCGTACGCAGACTAAAAGCATCTTATGGTTCTCATCTTCGCAGGATGCCGGGTCTAACATGGCCATCAGGGACGGCCGCAGACTGGTGGGGATATGCCTCGCATCGAGACCTTCGCACTGGGGACACCGGGCTCCCCTACACTAGTATAGGTATATACATCTCAATAAGACATGAACTTGGATTTTTTTTTGAAGGAAAAATACTCGACATGCTAGTAATACTCTTGCAGGGATTATCGACTTTGAAATGGAAAAATGACTAGTAACCACAAATCAGGAACACAAGACAGGGTAGCACACGTGCTGCCTCGTCGTCCCCTGAGTATAGTTTGAAATAGACTTCCAGCTTCATCTGTGCTGGGTTCGCTGCGATTTCGGTGACACGACCTTATGGTGGTTGGGCTGGTCCGAGCGTAGCTCGGGGTGGGAAGCGAGCTGGAGCCGCTGGGAGGGCGGGACAACTGGTCGCGAATTCGGACGTGTCACAGATGGACCTTGTATTGTTTCTAGTAAATGATAGCATGTACTTGAATGGATATGAATAAAACTATTGTTTTTAACGGAATACTAAGGAAGAGGTGGGTGGGGGCAAAAGAATGAAGTCCGGAGCGAGAAAGAGCGTAAGGGAGTTTGAGCGATACGTTGAGGAGATGTATGTAGTTGGGTGGCCGGGAGGAGAAAGGAAAACGGCTGCGCTCAGCTGGACGCGTGGTGCCGGAAACTTCCGCAGGCTCCGTTTTCCGGCACCTTGCTCAGGCTGCAGGACGCGGAAATGAAGTACGGCACTCTGTCAAATGTTGACACGAGTCACCAAGTTGGAAAATGCACATGACGGTATCGTGCCTGGGCGCTTCATCTGCACAGGTTGTGAACCTGTGGGGACGAAGATATCAAATGGAACACGCACCTTAGTCAACAACTCGAATGACCTCTCAGACAACCCCTTGAGTTCCAAACTTTCGCTGTATCAATCATAAATATTCAATCTGCACCTCTCGTTTGTCAATGGTGTTCATCTGTGTCAAGGTCCTCTGAGCTGTGAATGATACGGTTTCTCCAGAAAGGTAGATATAGAAAAAGCTATAAGCCTGCTCGCTGACTGGTATTATGTATCGTCGTACAGATCCGATAGCAAACATACACCCGTCCCGAGGCCGTCAGGATCGATTTCCTTCGATAAATTAGACCGTGAGTAATGTCTTGTGCTCGTCTGTCGAGAGGAGTTGAGGTCAAAGCAAGTAGGCCAGTGAACTCACCTACAATCAATATCTCCGCAAGATAACGATAACCCAAAGATCCAGCAAGCTGCTCTCGTACATATAGGCGTAGACCACGATTCCTTGATTGAGATCCTCGAGCGCCCGTCATGTCATCTCCTGCTTCGGAGATAAATGAAACGTCAGAATTAACTCCCTTCAAGACAATGCGAGGCCATACCAAGTACGTATTTGGTGTTGCGCACCTCCCGGACGGGCATCGCATTATTACATGTTCGGGTGACGGCTCACTTCGACTATGGGACCTAGAGAGTGGTGCACAGATAGGTGACGAGTGGCGAGATGAAGGGGATGATGCACCAGTATGGGCCATGGCATTGTCTCCAAATGGCAGGACTGTTGCCAGCGGGAGCAATGACGGGACAGTGAGATTGTGGGATGTCGGGACGGGGAGGGTTGTCGTCAAATGGAAAGAGCACACTCAAGCTGTGGAGTCAGTGTGCTGGAGTCCAAATGGTGAGCAGGTGGTGAGCGGATCCTTCGATGGGACGGTAAGAGTGTGGGATGTGGAGAGCGGCGGACCCATCCAGGGTTTGAATCCAATAGAGACAGGGCACCAGCACGTGAACGCGGTGAGTTACTCGCCAGAGGCAACAATGATCGCGACCTGCGGACGCGATGGAATCAGAATTTGGGACGCAGAGACAGGCAAATGGCTCTCCACAATCAAACTTCATCTACCAGTTTGGAGCTTAACCTGGACATCGAACGAGAAACTTATTTCTGGTTCGAGAAATGGCTCGATTAGGATATTCGACACTGCCACATGGCAGCAGAGCGCCGTTCTCGAAGGTCACACGCAGGGTGTCAAGTCCATCACTTTGTTGCAGAACGACCGCCTCCTTGCGAGCACATCATGGGACGGAACAGCACGTCTCTGGAATCTTGACACACACCTCCAAGTCGGATCACCTCTCCAACACGAAAAGGACGTCCAGTGTGCGGCCTTTTCCGCTGATGGAAAGCTGCTATCCACAGGTTGCGATGACGAAAACGCATACGTGTGGGACATTCACGCCATCCTCAAAACAGCTGGCCTAGAAGATCTCCTGTTTATACCTGATGTGAGTGCTAACTTGACTCCCACTCGCTATCTCATTCCCAATGGCTATCAGGCACAAAAATCTGAACTCAAAAAGAAAGTATGTATCATCTCCTGGCTTTTCAAGAATGAAACACGCTAATGTCCCATTCATATAAGTCGTTATCAGGTGTAAGTTGTGTCTTTTTCTGCCCTTGATATTGATTGTGACATCAGCATTCCAGGCTAATGCTAAACGACGTCCCGCCATCGCCAATCGTCCACCCCCACGTCAAGTGTCATCAGGATTTTTCGATAAAGTGCAAGACCATAGCCCTGTGCGGCACCACCGTCTTATATCTCCCCGCTTGCTCTGACTTCTATATTGTCAGTTGCCCTCCTTGGGATCACGTCCACGTGCCCCTCTCGTTCACCTTCCCTCCCTTCTCCGTCGTTTGCCACCCAACATCGATGAACCAAAAGAACCTCATCAATGCCCAAGACCTAGTACCTCATCTCGTCGCAGTCCTCCTGTTGTCGATGTTCCTGCGCTGGATGACAAGAAGGTACGTCTTTTTTTAGATGTGTTATCAATAGCTGGTCTCACATGTTTTATCTACAGGCAGTGTATGTTGCTTGGCGGCCGGCACGAGCTAGTGACAAAGGGACACTCACAAAGAACCCTGCATGGTGGGCTCGTGTTATGTTGTTCCTTTGCTGTGCATCTCCTTCCACCGATGGCTGTCATTAATGGATGCAGCACATCAACGATCTTGATATCTAGTTCCTCTGTTTTATTATCTTGTTGTAATGTATCTTTCGCTATACCACCAGTGACTTCTCGCATCCTAAATTGCCTGTCAAGTTCACACAGCGGGCGAGTTGTCCATATAGCCTATAGGAGGCTGGAAGTTCAGCGTAGCCTAATATCAACTAATACCATTTTAGACTCGCACATGTGTCACACTGGAGGACGTCTGCAGCTCATTCTCTGATTACCAGTGTTTCAGGTTTTGGTTGGCGATCACTTGTCGCTTGGTTATTCCAATCTCCGCGCGACCATCGACTATCTGGAACACTGGTGCGCAGGCCTAAGAACTCCACATATACCGTCTAAATTTATCCACGCCACCATGTATCCAAGAACGCGAAACAATCCACGTACTCACTCGTCCATACGACATTCGAGTCACCCTAGCTACGTTTTTTGTACGACAGTTTGCTCATTGCCCAATTCAAGACGGTGATTCCGTTGAGGATAAAGTCTTACGAGTTCAAACTGCACATGACGGAGCATCGGCGGACATTAATGCACTATCTGCTCTCTGACATACAACGTTCGCCATTCATTCCAGTCAAGCCATTACTGATCGTTAGGTTCTGCCT